ACCATAAATCTTTCGCACAACTTTTCTCTCGAAAACTCGCAACGTCGCCTAATTCGTTATTGACCTCGTCCAAGCCTCTGCACCATATAGCAGGACGGGAATTATGAGTGACTTATAGAGTTTGTTTTTTGTTTGTTGAGAGAGGACTTTGCTTCTCAATTGCCTACTCAGTCCGAAGTAGCACCTGTTGGCAAGAGTTATCCTGGAGTTGGATTTCTAGGCTGACATTGTTGGTGGTGTTTACGCTGGTTCCAAGATAGACTAAACTATCTACGACTTCAAAGTTATGACTGTCAACAGTGACGTGAGTGACGTGATGACAGGAGATATTTCGTCTTGCCCTCGTTCACTGCCAGACAAATTTGTGTTGCTTCCTTTTCCAGTCTGAAGAAAGCATAACTAACGGCGCGGGTGTTGAAGCCGATGATATCAATATCAATATCGGCATACGCCAGCAGCTGTACACYCTTATAGAAGATGGTACCTCYTTTTTAGTTCTGCAGCTCGAACTATTTTCTCCAGCAGCAGGAGCAGAGGTCCTTCTCCATTCTGACGGAGCTTTTGGTGTTGCTCTGACGTTAAGCAGCCGTATAAGTTTTGCAGGGATACCAAATTCAGACATCGCGGCATAAAGGCAGCTCCTTTTCGTGCTGTCGAAAGCACGAAATCGACAAAGAGGTGGTGGTGGCGTTAAAGTCCCCAAGCACGATTTTGATATCGTGGCATCATTGGTCACATCGTCCTTCTCTTCCGTCGGGGCATGGGCGCAAACCAGCGATATGTTAAAGAATTTTGGCGCGTCCCAACCCAGCGCACAGCCCTGTGAAGGGATGTTACGCCTTCTCACTTTAATTTTAGCTTTCAAACGGATGTTCTTAGACTATCCAAAAAACTTGGTCAAAGACTTGGCGATCAGAGAACTTTCCTCACTTGCGTGAACTTCTACATATGAATCCTTCCTCCCTATTCACTTTAGTAATATTAAAAGCCGATTACGAAAAAATTAGTTGAAGATATTAGTAACGAACAAGAACAGGAGAACGTCATACTAAAAGAACATCTAAGAGCACTTAGGAATGCGACTGAAAATAAAACACAAATTCTCGAAGAAAAATATTTTCACGGTATATGAAATAAAATAAAACGAATAATAGCAAACGGCACCTGCAAATAAGTAYGAAAGACATCCCAACCAACCGAATTTTGCAGAAACTCCATTATCAACATATCCATTACACACAGTTCATATCGATACATTTTTATCAGAAGGACAAATAGTTATGACAGCTTTAGACAAATTTACAAAGTACGCAGTAACAAAAAGCCTAAATAGGAGAGCAATAGAAAACATCAGAAGATCCCTAAGAGATATTATATTTTTCTTCGGAGTACCAAAATTAATAGTTATCGACTATGAGCTATCTTTATTATATTATATATATATATTACTTATGATGATAGGCGAATTAGGAATAAAAGTTTACATTCTCCTCCTTACAAAAGTCAAGTTAACGGACAAGTGGAAAGATTCTCAAGTAATAAAGAAAGATATCCCATMWATGTATGAATATAGTTGAAGCTCTCGAATTTTCAGAAATATAAATTGCAACTAATGGTAAAATTATAATTTATATTGTAAATTTTCCAACCGCAGTTAACCAAATTTGTAAAACAATAGACATTAGAGCTGTAAAAAAGAATGGGAGAATTAATAAAATCAATTTCAATAMACTTCTAAGTTGCGAGAAAAGAATCTGTGGAATAAAAATCAATAAACAACGACCTACATCTTTGTATTGTACTCCAACGTAACTATTAATATCAACAGTAAAAAATTCTACAACCAAGAAATAACRWCAAATAAACCATTATTCGCGCTAATCAAAAAAGAAGAATCCTCTCGCTGGAGATGCTGAAACCGCTAAACTTCAACAATACAAAAGAAGAAAGTAACAAGTAAGGAAGGGCTAAGCTCGGGTGTCACCGAACATTTTATACTCTCGCATGATAAAGTGATAATCGACATTTCAGGCGTGTTTGTGAACCGATTTCATTTGCTACATGTCATCAGGGTGTTAAGAAAATATTATGTACCGAATTTTATTGAAATCGGTCGAGTACACCCTGAGATATGGTTTTTGGTCCATAAGTGGGCGACGCCACGCCTATTTTCAATTTTAAAAAAAGCCTGGATGCAGCTTCCTTCTGACATTTCTTCCGCAAAATTTAGYGTTTCTGACGTTTTTTGTTAGTTGGTTAACGCACTTTTAGTGATTTTCAACATAACCTTTGTATGGGAGGTGGGCGCGGTTATTATCCGATTTCTTCCATTTTTGAACTGTATATGGAAATGCCTAAAAGAAACGACTCTATACAGTTTGGTTGACATAGCTATAGTAGTTTCCGAGATATGTATAAAAAACTTAGCGGCGGGGCCATTCCCACTATTCCAAAAAAATTACGTCCAAATATGCCCCTCCCTAATGCGATCCTTTGTGCCAAATGTCATTTTAATATCTTTATTTATGGCTTGGTTATGACACTTTATAGGTTTTCGGTTTTCGCCATTTTGTGGGCGTGGCGGTGGGCCAATTTCGCCCATCTTCGAATTTAACCTTCTTATGGAGCCAAGTGGAGCCAAGAAATAAGTGTACCAAGTTTCATCATGATATCTCAATTTTTACTYAAGTTACAGCTTGCACGGACGGACGGACGAACAGAGAGACATCCGGATTTCAACTCGAAAAATTCGTAAGAAAGAAAGTCATAATTAATATGTTTCAAGTTTTTTATTTTAATTTATTTATAGGTTATTGATACAATCTGTATATAAYATTTGTATGAAAGTATGTAGATGATTATGTGGCTGGAAAAGCTCTTGTAAAAAGTTTTTTTGTTCAGATACTTTTTATTGATGGATACACATTTGTAATTTTTAGCCTTCCTACAAATACTTCTTTGCGAAATATCTTTATTTGTATTAAAAAAAGTTTTTAATATCTTTCTTGCATTAAAAAGTATGAATGGTTGTAATAATATGCAACACATTTGCATAATTTTCCGAGCGAATCGGATTTTCTTATTTTTGCTATATTACTTCATGTATATATAAATGGTAAAAACGTGAAAGTTCGCATATTTATTAATTTCATAATTATTTTGACTTAAACCAATCTACTTTCATAAGTATAGGGTATGCTATATTGCATACATACATATCGTCACCTGAAATGCAAAATAACGTAACAACATTTTCGGAAATTTAAAGTGGCATGAGTGAAACACGAGATAAAATGGAATATGAGTGAAAAAAAATTGTAATATTGGTTAAAATTGGTTTATATCTGAGTGCAGAACCTGAAAATCTTGAACATATGTATATAATTTGAAGTAGTGAAGCGTAATCAATAAGACACTCAATTTACAATTTTTTAATGATACGTTATTTTGCATTTCAGGTGACGATATGTAATTTCCATTTTCCAACCAATATGGTCTTCAATATTTATTATTTTGTGGATTTGACAATTATTGATATCAATTGATGGATAGTAAATTTTTGTCTAAAATACCACCTATTGGTTTAAAAACGTAACTTGTTAACATAACAAAACATAATCTATGCATAATTGCTTCCATTCAATAAATATTGCATCCATGTGAGTTTAATGCATATTTAGAATTATATAATTTACTATTAGTCTTGCATGTCGACTAAGGTTATGGCCTTCTGGTATCATAACTTACTTCATTGGGATGTATACTCATTTATAAGTCGGTAAACAAATATAATATCTTATATGTATGCTTGCAAATAAAGTTATTTTTTAGTTTATTTACTTTTAAAAAAATCCCATGCATATTTCTTTATAGCCATCTCCGATGCTACAAAACTTAGTTTGTTACAAAACTAACAAACAACTGGCAGAAAAAGAAAGCTCAAGCAAAGCGAGTAGAGCAGTTAAGTGGGTTGTAAACATAACCAAGGAATATATGTAGTACTTAGTAATTTCGTACAAATGTATGCAACCGAACGCCCTTTGCCATTAATTACTCATTGCCAAAAAACAAGTTGTGTTTCTCACACAAAAGCTAGCTAAAACAAAATAATAAATTCACAATTGCCATAAAATAATTTAAAAATCAATACCTATATGTATTCAAAAGTTAAAGTTATATTTTTACTTATAAGCATATGTGTGAATGTGTATACTATCCTTTAATTAATTTTTAGCATACATTAAACTAAGTATTTATTGACTATGATAATAATTACAAGTATAATGCCACTTCTGTTCAATCGCGAGCTCGTTTTTGTTTATAAAGAATTTGTAGGTTTTATCTCTAGTTAAAAATTACTTTGAAATACATTTAAGTCTGTATGTAGGCATTCATATTCACACACACAGTTCAATGTTATAAATGATTAACTAATATATCAGTATCTAAAATAATACTTTTGGCAAAATCAATGCTAACAAATATTACGAACTAAGTATTAAAACCTACATACATACTATATATATTGTATTAATGCATATACTCGTAAAATTGTTTGTCTATGAAGATCCGATGTGTACGGATCAATTATCGTATAGCGCAGCTTATTCCATTTATTTATTTCCGCTACATTACGTAAATATAAAATTTGCTTAACAGTCTTTAATTGTTTTCTCAAATGAAACAGTTTATTGCGCAATCATTTGAAGTCACTTGCGATTATTTAAAGTTATGAAGCTTTGGCAAATTGTATAACTGAACTCATACGCATCACCTTTGCGCCGGTTTCATGGTTAGCATTGGCTACCGCGTCGATGGTGACATGGCTTGGTTCAACACGGCCCGATGCTACACCAATATGGCCAAGTGTCTTTTCCATTTCATGTGTGGGCACATTTATAGCTGACGATTCGATTGGTGATCCTTCGTGCATGTAAAGTTTACGCTTGCGCAACGGTAGTGTCATTACATCACGATCGGCCATCATCATGGAGTCGCTCTCGGGTGATGATGAACGTTCTGGCGATTCAGTCGAGGAACGTAATGGCGCTATTGCAGCTTCCACTTGACGCACAATCTCGTTGTTGAGTAGCGAAGGCCTATCCAAAGAAAACGAAAAAATTATTTTTACTTTGGCAATAGAGAGATATCGCACACCAACTACAAAAGGCTGATAACTGAAAAAAATCACCGTTAGCTAAACTTTTTTGTTAATTGAGTCCTATGCCTCCTGAACATTTGCAAATATTTCAAGTTGTGACTTTTCTGTAGTTAGTGTGCCATATGTGTAAGTAATCGAAAAATGTATTGCTTTTGATACAGCTTAATGCCATAGGCTTAGCGCTATCTTAGGTGGTATCGTATCTGCTACTGCGAGTTAAAAAAAGTATAGTTATCTATAAAATAGACATACATATAATTCACCATATGAAAAGGATCTTACGAAACAAAAAACAAACAAGTCGGTTCGGGTGTAACTGAACGTTCTAAACTCTTGCAACTTGCAATGATCAAAGCACAAAAAATACCTTATGGAGTGACATATACTTAATATTATATTAACAAGTAAGAAAGGGCTAAGTTGGGGTGCAAACGGACATTTTATTATATATACTCTTGAAACTTGCAAGGACCAAAGGCAGAGAAATGCATTAAGGTGTAAAACGTCAACCAGAAAATTGGAATCTAAGTTATTTTATATATTTTATATATATGTACATATACACTATATAAWTCATACACTGGCCGACATATWTAAGATTTGTTAGTATCGATCCAATTTTATCTCATCACCTCACATACAATCACTAATCACATGAAGCAAAGTCTGTCGGATATCCAAAAATCCTGGAAATATTTATATGGGGGCGAGGTCAAGTTTTCACMMAATTATATTTATTTTAGAAGATATATTGAGATAATAAAAATTTTGGCCGATATATGCAATTTAAAGTGACCCGAAAGCTCGAAAATATTTATATTGGATATAGGTGGCAATGGATTCTTATGATTCCAAGAAACATTTGTACGAAGTTTCATCAAGCTATCTTAATTTTTACTCAAGCTACAGCTTGCAAGGACGGGCCGACACCCACCAGAATCCATCATCTCGTCATTCTGATATTTTATACATATGTATATATGTATGTACATACATAAGCCCATATCTATTACAAATAGTTTTAGGTGATGTATACACACTGTTATACGCTGTAGCAAAATGTTGAAAGAGTGCAAAGAATGTTAATGAGAAATTGTTCACTGCTGTTGGTTGTACTTACTCATACTTAGGCACTGGTGCGTATCCCTTGTGCAGACCATGCCGCGCAAGCTCTCCTCGTTTGTAATGCTCAATCAAYTCGTTGGCCTCTCGTGTGTCATCGTATTGCGATAAATCATGACTAATAGAAAGTTGATGTGATGCTATTAAGTTAGAGCGCTCAATATCGTAAACGGGTTCATTCATTTGCTCCTGATATTTATGATCATGGCTTCTATGTTGTGGTTGAAATTGGTTTTGGTTTTCCGTGTGTCGTGTCTGCTTAAACAATATTCCCCCAAARGTAACTTCCTCTTCACGTGGAGAATCTAACATATCACGCCGCCTCACAATAGAGGCAGCTTCCAGTAAAGCTGGATTGATAGTCGGTGGTTCGAGTTCAGACTGATCGAAATCTATGCTCTGTTGCTGTAAATGGTGATAAATGTAGTTTGGTGGAACTGTTTGCTGATGAYAGTTTAATGAATTTTGTGTTGGATACAATTTCGTAGTTGTTGTTTGTTGTAATTCTGGTTGTGCAGGTTGTTTACTTAGATCTGTTGGTAGATCTTCAATTATATAAGTAAAGSTATGTTGTGCATTGTTGTTAGTCGAATTAATAGCGGCTAAAGAGATGGATAATTGACGATTATTGCTGGCACTATCTACTCCACTATCGCGGCTCTGATAGTCGACTTCCAGTGTTTGTGGTGTTTGTGGCGATGTGGGCATGGATTCGGGCATACCATCTGAAAGACGAGATGTAGATGCAAGCGATAAGCTTGGCGATGATGTGAATCKTGGCGATGGCTTGTTAGGCGTATTAGAAGTAGATTTTTTTATAGATTGAACGCGACTACGCTTTGTTTTGCGCGGTTTAACAGACGCCACATCGGACGGAGTAGCTGATAAAGGTGAAGCCGGTGTTGATGATACTTCGCCACTCGAACTGCTAGATGYTGAGTTGCTGGTGTTGTCGGCAATAACTGCACCAGCTTCAACTCCATCCTCGTTATCTGGTAACTCTTTGGCATGACCCTTAATATGCGCTTCCATTTCTTTTTTGCTCCCAAAAGTCCTATCGCAAATTGTACATTTATAGCATTTGGATCCATAGTGCTGTACGCGATGTAGTTTGAGTACATGATTGTAGCCAAAATCGCGGTAACATATATCGCAATGATAAGGTTTTTCACCGGTGTGAGTACGTGAATGCACTTTCAGTTGTTTGGAGCAGGTAAAGCCCTTACCGCAACCCTCAACGGGACATTTGTAGGGTTTTTCGCCAGTATGTGTACGCATATGTATAACTAATTGCCCAGATTGTATAAATGTTTTCTCGCAGACAGAGCATTTATGCGGCCGTTCGCCGGTGTGGATGCGCATGTGGCGATGCAATTTACCCGAGTGTTCGAAAGCTCGGTCGCAGACATCACACTTATACGGCCGTTCTTTGGTGTGTATACGTCGATGAACTTGTAGATTCTCCTTCACACTGAATAGTTTATGGCAAAACTCACATTCGAAGGGCCGTTCGCCGGTATGCGTCCGATAATGGCGGATCTAAAGTTTTGTAGAAAGGCATACACGTACATATATTCGTATGTTAGCAGAAATAAAATTCGAAGTTTTTATTGAAGTGAACTTACCAGCCTGGCGGGCACCGCAAATGTTTTTTGACAAACATTACATTGATATGGATCACCTGTCATATTTGGCATCTTTGGTATACCCGCTGGTGTAATAGTTTCGCTGATTTCTGCCCGTCTGGTAGACTCTGCCGTGGAAACACCAACTAAATCCTTGCTTTTCGCATGAGATTTGGTGTGTGAGGTGTGTGCCGACTTACTACCGAAGGTCATTCCACATTGTTCGCATTTAAATTTTGGCTTATTTACAGTGTGTTTGCGGTTTACGTTGCCGCTGCCATTTACTTGCAACGTCGTAGCGGGGGCATTTGTGGTTCTGCCAGGTACRGCAGTTCCATATATGCCGATATTCGGTTCTGCTTTGATATTGTCAGGTAAACTTATATTCGCTGCAGTCATTTGTGGCTCATTGATGGATATAATACTTGTATGAGGTAATGATGTTGACGCTAACTGCTGTTGCTGCTGCATTGTTGTAACATTGCTGTTGTTGCTATATAGAACTGGAGCGCCGTGTTGCAGTTGATGTGCTTCTAAGATTCTTGATGTTGTAACAGAACTTAATTCTGTTCTTGTCTGTAGAGTGGTGCAGAATTGAGCTTGATTAAGCTTCTCTGTCTTAATAACCAGTGGTGAAGATTGGTGATATACCATTTTATTTGGTGTCTCTGCAAGAGAAGAGCAAACGAAATAAGTAGATGTCAGATATAATTAAAGRATAATTTTGAATATTAGCATTTACATTTGTAGAGTGAAACTGTGTTGACTGAATAAATCAAAAGGAAAACGATGTCTGAAGGTATCTTTGTCCCAACAGTCGGTAAATTTAGTCTCCACGAGGAAACATACCTAAAAGATTTGGGGCTGATCGACTTCGCCAAGGCCCGAAATATGGTTATCTGTAATACAGATTCCAGCATAGAAAAATTCATCAAGCTACCTAGCTGTCTTCGGATTGAAAAACCACCAGATCGATCATGTTATGATAGAAGGAAGACGTCTCCAGTGTTTTAGATGTGCGCACGCTCCGAGATCCTAACATCGAATTGAGCTACTATCTTGTTGCAGATAAGATCCGCTTCTCCCTCTGTGCAGCATAAAACGCACTTCAATAAACACAAGGACTGTTCGACGTTGAGAAGCTGCAAATACAACAGACAGCCGAACGTTTTTCTAYTCGACTTGCATTCCTGCTYYCTGARAGAATTCATCAACAACTCGGTATAAGGGAACTGTGGGACGGCATTTCAAGCTATTTTCGTACAATAGCAAACGAAATCATGGGTTTTCGGAAAAAGCTAAAGAACAGCTGGTACGATGAGGTATGCCGTGTCGCAGCCTACCTCACCACGTCTCGATCGACCACAACACGTGCGTGATGGAATAGATACCGAAGGTTGAAGAGGGAAGCGATACGCATTTGCAGACAGCAAAAGAGAGAGGCCGAAATGTGTGATTATGAAGAGCTTGACAAGCTGGTCGCCAGGATAATTGCTCGAAAATTCTAACAAAAGGTTTCTAGATCGAAGCATGCTCTTGTAGAACCCCCAGAGGTTATCTGAYAATCGATGCTCAGAGCACATTTAAATTATGGAGGCAACGCTTATCCAGCCTGCTGAATGACAGTGAAGGCATATTGCCAGGAGAAGGAGAACCTGATTCCCCAATCGATGGCGATGGACCAGATGTTCCATTGCTCGACCAGGAAGAAGTTCCAATAGCAATTACCCGCCTGAAGAACAACAAAGCGACGGGGAACGATGAATTGCCGGCCGAGCTATTCAAACACGGTGGCGAAGAACTGGTAAGGAGCATGCATCAGCTTCTTTGTAAAATATGGTCGAACGAAAGCATACCCGATGACTGGAGTTTAAGTGTGCTTTGCGCAATCTACAAAAARTGGGAGAAACCTCCTCAGCATTGCATAWAAGGTTACAATACCAAAGCCCCTTCAGGATCGGGAAAAACCTTTTGTGCGACTTCTACAATCTGCTCTTGGAAAAAATAATTCGAGCTTCAGAACTTAATCGAGCAGGTACAATCTTCTATAAGAATGTACAGCTGCTGTCGTATGCCGATGATATTGATATCAACGGCCTCAACACCCGCACCGTTTGTTCTGCTTTCTCCAGGCTAGACAAGGAAGCAAAGCAGATGGGTCTGGCAGTGAACGATTGCAGACGAAATATCTCCTGTCACTGTTGACAGTCATAACTTTGAAGTTGTAGATAGTTTAGTGTATTTGAGAACCAGTGTAAGCACCACCAACAATGTCAGCCTGGAWATCCAACGCAGCCTAACTCTTGCCCACGCCGAATATCGCATTCAATGGAACGATGAGCTGTATGAGATATATGACGACATTGACATAGCTCAGGGAACCTAAAGRCAGCGGCTGCGCTGGCTASGTGATGTTGTCCGAATGGACGAAAACACTCCATCTCTGAAAGTATACGACGCAGTAGCCGCCGGGTGAAGCAGAMGAAGAGGAAAACCTCCACTCCRTTTAAAAGACCAATTGCAAAGACCTGGCTTCGMTTGGCATTTCCAATTGGCGGAATCGGTAGAAGAAGTTTAGACCTTCCCAAATTTCGAGCATTGGCGCAATTGGTCAAACCCCCACCATTAAAAGCAWCTATAGCTCCTTTCTCTTATAYCGTTAAGCATGCTTTTGCGCAGCATTTTTCGATTAGGTAGCACAATTTAATAAAATTAATTCATAATTCCAATTCGCATTGATCGATATGAGTGTTTTTATAGCAATGAAACACCATTTCCAGAACATTCCGCTTACTACCTACAATAGTAGGAAAAGTTGCGGTAGAAAAAAAATAGTTTTTATAGAATTGTTAGAGTTATCATAGAGCTTTAAAGTAACATCTTTCGATTGTGAAATGGGAACATGTTATAATGTCTTTTTAGCAACGAAATTGCACCCGTACTTATACTTTCTTTACTTCTTCTAAGAAAGATCTTTATCTTTCCTTTGATCGGTTAGTTTATATAGTACATTTTTTTATGCTATAGTTGAAATTTTTTTGGATATAGTAGCGATGCATTGAATAATAGTGTATGCCAAATATGGTGAAAGTACCTTGCAGCTACATATATGCTATATTGAGCCAAACAAAACACTTTTCTCTTAGATTGTGTTATTGTCTTAGACAATAATCCATGCAAAATTTCGAGGAGATATCTCGTCAAATGAAACAGTTTTCCATGTAAGCGCTTGATTTCGAACATACATAAATATGATTTTAGTTAGCCATAACCTTTACAATTCGCGGGTATTAATTTTATAGCTGTCGGATCATTAGATTGTGAATTATGTATATCTTTTGAGTGAAGCTACTTATATTATTGTGAAAAAATGGACAAAAAGGAATATCGCGTATTGATAAAATATTGGTGAAAAAGTATTGTTTTTGTTAAAGCAAAAACTTTGGACTAACGAAAACAACAAAAGAGTCCACAAATTGGACCGTTTGAAAGACGGAATTGCGGACTATTTCCTGTTCTCAGATCTAAAAAGAATGCCCGCTTTGAAGAAAATTTTAGTCGAATGAAGAWGTGATCGCACGAACTGAGGCCTAATTTGAAGCAAAGGATAAATCGTAATACAAAAATAGTATCAAAAGTAAAAGAAACAAAAAAAGGGTTTTACTGTGGTAGGCCGAGGACTTCCAATTGACTTGTTATTTGGATTACAGCAGCGCCATATACTTTTTGAGAACTAAAGTCATGCGCAATTCAGGGAACACGATAAGCACTAACTTCGGTTCACTCACATAAATGTACACACATACATACATATCTCAACGCATCATAAATTCGAACTACAGCTATGCATCTGAAACACATTCACATAGAGCACTTTTGCTTTCATACCCACCCTGCCATCGTTAATGCATACACTATGCCACAACAGCACTGCCACCATCAACAATATCCAAATGAAACCATGGCCCTCAACGCCAAAGCAAAATAAACCAAAAACAAAGTGCAAATTCAATAACCTACATACATATGAATATATGTATGTTTGTAGGCTTGCGTGTGTACGACGACAATCTACGATGGTGAGGTTGGAAAATGTGCCGATTGAAGCAATCGGAAAAGCCACCCTTATGCGCTGTGAGGACACAAAATCACCCTCTGAGAACCTGCTGGCGAGTGCCGCGGCGGCATGAGTAACTTTCACTTTCGAAAAGCTCCGTCATGTCTACATCTGCACCTACAAGTGTAAAATAGATATAAGAATGTATGTACATGTCGTCACCTGAAATGCAAAATAACGAATGATCAAAAAATTCGAAATTGAGTATCTTAATGATGACGATTCACTACATCAAATTACATACATAATATTAAACATACATATTAAAATTTTTTTTCACTCATGTTCCATTTTATTTYGTGCTTCATTCGTGCCACTGTAAATTTACGAAAATGTTGTTACGTTATTTTGCATTTCAGGTGCCGATATATTAGTTTGTCAAAAAAGTCTTGCGGTATTTTTGCTAGTTGGCGCTGAGAGCGCGTAGTTCTAGTTTTATTCGTCGCATCGGGTCTTGCTATATCYTTTTGGAAAGCTCATTTCACGCGCTAACACATGTTTGATTGATTGTCGTTTCTTTTAAGTTGTTCGTGAGTTATAGCGTCGCAAACATGGAGCAAAATAAAGAGAAAATACGGCAAAATGCATTTCAAGCCGCCAATAAAATTTGTGCAGTTTATGGACCCGATACATTTTCCATTTCCACCGCACAACGATGGTTTCAACGTTTTCGTTTTGGAAGGCCTGTCGTCGAAAATTGCGATAAAATCGCTGAATTGATCGAAAGAGACCGGCATATGTAATAGCAGCCGTAGCATCGGTCAAGAGCTGGGAATGAGTCATCAAAAAAAAATTTATGAACAATTGAAAATTCAATAAAAATACCCCAAAAATATCGCAGGACTTTTTTGACAACCTAATATTTTATTGAGTTTGGCGTTCAAATTATTTGTTTTTCTTCCTTTCKTTGGCGACGGCAATTAATAGAAAGCGATTCGTTATTATTTGGGCTCAAATGAAATACATATTTCTAATAGTTAATATGTTTAGGAGTGCACGTATGTACATACATACATACATACATGTATGTATGTATGTATGTATGTGTGTAATGACTTAGCGAAACAACCCCGCACAACCAGTGATGCTTTTGCCATCAGGCGTTGTGGGGGTTTTCCGATTACCGGTTGTTCCTGGCAAAAGCTCAGTTTTGTTAATAAATAAATAGAGCTTTTCCAATGCACACATATGTAAATATATAAACACATGTACATATTGTATGTACATATGTATATGGTTTTAAATTTTTTCTCTTCAACTTAATACAGGCGCAAATAAATGTGTGCGTCAGAGAGTGTTTTAGCTCGCGTATACCGGTAAAAAGTGTTGGAGCTTTTAACAACTTTGACGGAAGGAAAACGAAAACAATTTACACACATATGTACATGCAGATTTGTATGTACATACATATGATTTATGCTGTTCGTAAAAATGTATATTGGGAAACGCACCTTTTTTAGCAACGTCGACTGAGGAATCTCCAGTGTTCTTTTTATTCCTTACTCGTCTGCTCATGATCTTTTGACTGGCATTTGGCGTTTTCTTCATTGG